GTCTGGAAGATTTGCCAATAGTGGCAAGACGTAGCCAAGTGTTTTCCCACTATCCGCTGGAGCATTCAAGACGACATCTTCTCCATCCACAATTGCCTTGTAGCACGCTTTTTGCAACTGGAGCAGATGAGGTTCTGTGCAGTTGAATCTGAGAGAAACTTGTTCATACATATGGGCTGGCAATAGATCAGCCAAATTGGAAGTTCCATCGTCGTTTGTCTCGGGCACTTGTTTCTTTTCCTGTCTTCGCTGGAGCCTTTGCAACATTTGGTATTCTTGCTCGTACTTCCCTTTCTTGTACCCGCCACTCAGTACTTGAAAGGCTACCACTACTTGACGAAGTTTCTCTGCTATTTCTTCCGAGTCATCCGCTAGACTCAGCTCCATGGCCTGTTACAGTTAAAATACAAGGTGAGTGACCGAGATATGCCATTCCTGAGAAACAGAATTCGGAATTGGAACACAACAAGCTACCTGGGAGTGAACTAACCTTTTTTCGATACGCCGCCTTGATTTCCGACATGGAAGCACCTGGCTCCACGCCCAACACCTCAAATGGATATGGCTCATCACGTGTCCATGGACCCTCTTCTTCAGTCTCACCATTTGTCGTGGCTTCTTCACTCTGCGAAGAGTCAGAGAATGAGACTTCCTTGGGAACACTGTCATCTTCGTCATCAAGATCAGCCACCGACTTGCTCCCATTGGCCGAGGCCATCGTTTCGGTCTCAATCTCCTTGCTCGGAAAAGTCATTCCATTGATCCCATTGATCCCATTGACCTCATTCATTCCATTCGCTCTTTCCTCCATTTCGTCAGCAGTGCTTGGAGGAGAAGGAGGGGAAGCCTTTACAGTTGCTGTAGCCACTTCAATGACATTATTCTTGTCCAATATCGATTTGTCATCAGCAGTCTTGTCCAAAGCTGGTGGGAATACTTCTTCCGTAGTCTCGGATACGATTGGTTCTTGTTCTATTGGGTCCTCTTCGGTGGGAGCAGCACCATCAGCAGTCATTTCGACGGCAGCATCATAGGGGGTCAGGAAATCATCCTTGTCAATGCTCAAAAATGCCCTTGATTCTCCTTTTTTGGATGTATCCCATTTCGGTGGACTTGGTGGTGGTGATGGTGGTGGCTGAGAAAAAGAGGAAGTTGCCGTCACCGTTTGTTCGCCAAAGTTGGATGGAGGAGATGAGATTGGTGGTGGTGGTGGTGATGCTCTTGGCGGTGGACGTGTAGCTGGTTGATAGGAATCATCGCGGCCCCAAGAGTTTTGTTGGGAAGAAGCATAGGCAGCACCATTATAGATATCATCTTCGTTTCTGTGCTGTGCGACAGATGGTGGTGGTGGTGGTCTGGGTGCATAGGTGGCAGTGGAGGTGACATCAATAATCGTCTCTATTCGTGGTGGTCGTTGTTGGGGTGACGACGATGGAATTGGTTGCATTGGAGATCGCCCATTCATGAATGGGTCAGCTGCTAGTTGCTGTCCAGGGGAGCCGTAGGATGTGGAATGTGCATTACGTTCTGGTCGTTGTTGCGGCGGCCTTTGTTGTTGCGGCGGCCTTTGTTGTTGCGGTGGTCTCTGTTGTTGCTGTTGTTGCTGTTGTTGCGGTGGTCTCTGCTGCTGCTGCTGCTGTTGTTGAGTCGGTCTTGGCGGTCTCCGCCGCGGGGGTTGTTGCTGCTGTTGCTGCCTTGGTTGCCTTATCTTTTGTTGTTGCTTCACCTTCTTCAAATAGTTCTCGATTCGTCTCGCCTCATCACTTTCCATATCCACCATAGTTTGGTTGTTGGCAAAGGATGATCGTGGTTTGTAAGTGGCATCTGGTGATGTTTCAGAATTAGATCCCGTAAATGACGATGCGGTATACGATGATCCTGGTGAGGACCGACCATTGCGTGATCCAGAACCAGGCAAACCATCCTCTGCGTTTTCATTTGGAGGATGATCCTTGACCGTATTCAAAGCTTCGAGTCGTTGTATCAGAACCGTCTTGCTTCCCTTGTCTGATAGTCCCCTTGCCCGCAATTCGTTTTGCAACTGTAGAACAGTCTTTCTTCCCCAATCGACATTATTGATTGCCGATGCCAGTTGTGATGAGCGTGGTCTTCTTTGTATTGATGATGATGATGATGATGATGATGATCCAATTCCCAGTGGACGAAAGGAAAAGGCCTCTGATGTTTGAAAAGCACCACCACAACAGACCCACGTTATGGCTGCCAATTGTATCCTCGTAAGCATCGTCATCTCAAACTTTGACTTCAGTTTTCAGACTGAGATTAGAATTGGAAATCCCCGTTAGATGATTAGTTTTGTAGTAATGAGAATACCGTAATTGCTTTCTCAGAAGATGCTGGTACGGTATGCAACGGTCTTGACGTTGCTTTATTATAAGCTTTCTTCGGTAACTGAGAATCTACAGTACGGTGTTCGTAGGGACAGAGTTGAAGTATAATATGAGTATCACCTTGTCGACAGTATGAAAATTATTCTCAGACTTCTTCCACAGGCGAGTGTCGCAACGCTTGTGATGGCTTCTCAAGGATTCAAAAACAGAACTCAACGAATTCCATTGGTCCATGCGGTGCAGACTGACGACAGTCTTCGAGCATGCCTGCTTCAATAGTCTCACATACTCCATTTCGACAATGAAAAGATGACGTACGCCCAGCATACCATCGGTTCGAATTAGTCCTTCTACCACAGGGTGTTCAATTAAAATTACTACAGTATCTACAGATTTATTGATTTCACTGCGAGATGATGCAGATGACGATGTGATGCATGTGAAGTCGAATGGAACTTGAACACATGAATTCATGCATGTTCTTCCACGGGAACATACAGTAAAATGCAAGTGCAAGCGAATCGACTTATTACCTACTTCTATTGTGGCAACCTACAGTAGGAGAATCAGAACGCGCACCAAAATAATGATGTGAAAAGGCTACTTGTCAATAATACTGTTAAAGCGTTGTTGCCTGCCCAGAGCATTGCATGCTTCCTATCTACCTTTAAGCAGTAGAGCTGACGCATGGAGTGAGAAAAATTGGATCTGAGTGCTCTGGATTGCGTCGTGTCAAGATCCCCAGTACTACTGTACAGAAATCATTGGGGCAAGGGAATTCAATTTTTGTACGGCGATGATGTGCACTGTACGTTATTTTCACAGAACCATACCATCGTTGAAAAGAATAAAGTCAGAATCATTTTGCGATTATCGTTTGGAAAGAATCACCACTCCGTCTAGTGTGAAAATATTGGACCCTTCTATCTTTCGTTCTTGCTTGTCGAATATTGGTGGAGGTGGATCTTTCCCTCTCGAGCGGTATAGCGATATTCCAAGGTCTGGATTTTCTCATTGCAGCTACAAGTGGTCCGCCTACCCAACACTGTGGGCGACATCGCCTCCGATGCATTTTCAAACTGTTCTAATCTGGTCACGGTGGAAGTCTTGCTTGACCACCGCCCATCCGGCTTGGATTGAACACGTTTGCTAATTTGCATCTCCCTTTCGAATGTCATACTCCCACAATAAGGGTCGATTTGCCGCAGAGATTCTTTTATGGGAGCTTTTTCTCGGTGCACTCTACTACAAAAGTACTGTGATGCAATGGATGATGACGAGATTATCGAGGGTTTGATTCGTCGCTTCGGTGGGCGTCCCGTCCATAAGTTGTGCTATCGCTCATCCACCATCACTCATCAGGACAACATCTATGTCAATGCATCGACAGCACCCTAAAGTGTGCATCCTTTCAGTTGCAGGCAAGTTCGACATGACTCCATTTCAAATACTGTGGTCTGATGTAAAGCCCCGTCGAGATCTATTGCTTGCGCTTCTTGACAATTTACCCACGGATGGAACTATGCCAATGGCAAAACGACCCCATAGACTACTAGTTACTCGCCAACTGGGCTTTTGAAACTGCCGATTTTTTTTTCAAATGGCCATGCAACGCTGGATGATCGCTTCGTTGCAGCGTTGGAGTGATACTGTCGTCGTGGAAGACATGGAGGGCTGTGTCGAAGCCATTCGTGCTGAAACTGAAAAAGAACGCCGATTCATTCACTCAATTTGGACGAGGATGCATGCTCTGTATTCCAACGCTTATGCATTGGATGAGAATATGACCATATTGGTGGTGGCCTTGTGGAAACAAGAAACTACAGGAAATTGGTCATGGTGCTTGCAAGTGTAGGTTCCTTTTTTGGATTGGTACTGTCTTGATTCATTCAGTCTTGGCATCATATAAGGAAGCAATTGGATGGTAAACAAAAGCACTTTCTGAACACAATAATGGTCATTTCCACTAAAATCAAAGCAAAAATTACACCAAAACGAACATTAACCAAAAGACATACTATAAACTAGTAGCTATGAAAGCATCTTGATTTCTCTACTCTTTTTGAAATTGTTGATTCTCGTGTGATGTCTGATTTTAGCACAACAGCCAGCAATGGCATCGAGCGACAAGATTCCAAACAAAAGACTATGAATATTCTGTAATCTCATTCCCCCAATAATCGTGACATCAAAAGCCAACGATCCAACAATCGAAATAAAATTCCAGAGTCCAACTTCCACCAAACGGATCTACTTTCCTGGCATGGTATTGCAGTATTTTATGGTGTCCCAGTTGATTCAGAAAGATCAGGTACACGGAGCTGGACTATGTTTTCTTGCGTTGTGGTTCTGATTGGTACATTTTCAACAACAGAACCAATAACTACCGAGCATGTCATCGTCAGTCAGCACTGAAACGACAAGACACCAGGAGACGCAACAATAACATTACATTCAGTGCATCCCCATTTCCCCATTTGAGAAACGATACATTACTCCGACAGTTTGATCCAACTGTAGCTTTCCCTCCAGAATTCCTTCCACCCCTCACTATTCTCAATACTCTGGAGAATTTTCGTCTTGGTCCCACCACAATGTCGAAGCAGCGGCTTCTGCTTGTTCTTCGTCCACTTCAATGTCGGAAGTTTGAAAGTCTTCCAACAACTCTGGTAGAACATGCGATCTGAAAGGAGGTTCCGATAGGATTTCCATTTCATCATGGGTCAACGACGTCGACAAGATTCGATGATTGATACCAAGTCGTTCCGTCAGTTCATTTCCAAAGGCAACCAAGAACTCTACGGATAGCCGAGAGGCTTCCAAATCCCCCCAATGAGAGGCTGCCAATTCTGCCAACCATGCTTCAAAGGCCTTGGTAAGCGCTATTGAATGGGCGGTACTACTCGAACCTAAAATAGCAATCGCCGAAAGGACTTGATTGTCATCCAAAACTGTAAACCCTTCACAGGTGGATGGGTCATAGGTCATGCGATCTGTAAAGGCGTAGGTATCCCAAAAGAAAATATCGTTCGAGGTGGTGACCTCGGAGGATGATGATGACGACCTTTTGCCCAACAAGATACCACCAAATTGACTACTCTCTTCGTATTCAACCGCATGATCTTCATCACCACCATCTTCGGTAGAGCCCCACCACGACAAGGGAGCTGGTGCACCAATATGTGGCTTGAAGGGATTGCGCATAATGTTATACAGGTCACGTCTTGTCGATGCCGTAAACATGGGCTCGTCCTGTAGTCGTGCTTCGACTTCCTCGTCGCTATTTTCTTGGACCGTAGAGGGAATTATAGGTTTCGGAGTCATAGCTTGAAAGCCAAAACCACCAGTGCTGGCTGAGGTGGATTCTTGTTCTTGGATATCATTGCTTTGCGTCCATCTTCTTGTGTCAAGAAAGCTGGACGATTCTTGCTTCAGCATCGTTTTCGATGACGCTTCGTGTTGAAATCCACCAACAACCTTCAGGTCATCTCCAATGAGCAATAAGAATACAATCAAGAAAACAGGGAGGAGCGAAATGGAAGACATCGTTTTTGCAGTAAATGGAAGGAATGAATCTGCAGCTAGTGAACAATACCCTGTTATATATACTACAGTACCGGTATAGAAGGTACTCTGCAAATGCAAAGTATTCTGCATTTGAACCAAAATACCGTTGGAAATCTTAGTTGCCTGACGACGTACGTACCGATCCAGACTCTTCCATTTGTTTCATGTTTTCAGTTTGATGTTCAATTGACAGTGTGCTCTCCCTGACAACAGAATAATATTAGTGCTAGGTATACTTGTATACACACCTTCTCTATACAGTTATAGCAACAGGATACTAAACAAAAACTAAAGATTGTCAACTTAGAAGTTTTCATACCACCCCTTGTCCCCAGCGTTATTGTTGTTGCCCCGAGGATTGTCATCCCACAAGGCATTGTCTCGTTTGGACCCTCTTCGGACATCCTCGTACAAGCCATTGCCATAGCTATTCAAGCCACCACCCCGATTGTTCCCATTGTTGTTATTATTGTTGGTTCCTCCATTGAGATTCATATTGTTACCGAAATTATTGGGTGGGGCCGATTGTGGTGGTCCTGGTGGTGGGGGTGGCGGCCCACGGTTGTCTCCATATGGAGGACTTTGGTTGTTATTATTGTTGTTGTTGTTGTTGGCATATGGACTGTTGTTGGCATATCGAGCGCCGCTATTGTTGTCATTGGGATTGCCATAGCTTCCGTTGTTAGGACCATTGTTAGGACCGTTTCCATAAGGAGGGCCATTATTATTCATCATATCATTGCCATTCGGATTCCTGTTGTCGTAACCACGTAACTTGGAATTCGATCGAAATCCATCATTATTAGTGTTGCTGTTGTAATTGTAGCCGTCGGTATTACCTTGAAGGGGCCGACCCTGATCTGGCATGTTATTTCCATACACTTGACCATTGTTGTTGCGACCAACGTTCCGACTATCGTCGGTACTACCAGAGTAAGTGTTTCCTCTGCTTCCATAGCTGCGACCACCACTTGGTGGAGGTGGATTATTATTGTAGCCATTAGGGTCATTTGGTCGGTTATTAAAGTCCATATTGTTGTTGTTTGGATTGCTATATGGCCCAGGCTGTTGCATGGGTGGAGGGTTCTGTCTCGGCTGCTGCTGTTGCGGTGGTGGCGGCGGCACACCGTATGGACTGTTCTGCCGCGGCTGCTGCTGTTGCGGTGGTGGCACACCGTAAGGACCATTTTTGAGCGGCTGCTGCTGCTGCGGGGGTGGTGGCGGAACACCGTAGGGACTGTTCTGTCGCGGCTGCTGCTGTTGTGGTGGTGGAGGCGGAACACCGTAAGGACTGTTCTGTAGCGGCGGCTGCTGTTGCGGTGGTGGTGGTTGTCCGTAAGGATCGTTGCTTCCGTAAGGGTTCCTGTTGTAACCATTGTTTCCGCCATAAGTATTACCATTGTTAATGTTGCCATTGTTGTTGTTGGTGCTAGGGTTGTAGGCGGGACCTGTGTTCGGCCGGGTATTCATGCCAAGATCCGAGTTGCCATAATTTCCAGCCAATGGTATTATTTCGGGTGGCGGGGCGGATCGGATAGCATCCATATTCATACCTCTCATGGTTTCTCCTTGGAAGGTTTCTAGAGACTCATTATCGACAAAGTTGGCAAAGGGTTGTTGACAAAGGATTTCAATCTCTTGGGGTACCAACCGAGTGGATCGTATCCGATTGTTGATATCCAAGCGTGGGGTCATTTCATTCCCAAAGGCAACCAGAAATTCGATCGATAGTTGGGAAGCCTCTGGCTCTGCCCAGTACAATTGGACCAACTGCGCTAGATAGGCTTCGAAGGCTTGTGTAATGGCCAAGGCTACAGGAGTAATCTTGCCAATACTGGAAATGGCTTCGAGCATTTGTTCGTCGTCCAAAATAGTAAATCCGGATGGATTGGCACCCTTGGCGGCAAAGGCAAAGGTATCCCACGCCGCATTGGGACCGGCCCCATCCGAACTCTTGGCCAGCAAGACAGAACCAAAGATTTGGCGGCCATTATCCTCGCCTCCCAAGGATGGATTGTACGGAGATTTCAGAATCCGATAGATATCACGACGGACGGCAGAAGTAAACATGGGCTGATCTCGTTCTCTTGCCAATAATTCTTCTTGATCAAAGACAGTAGTGACTTGAAAGGCGACAATTTCTTCTCTTCTGTTGTGTTGTTGATTTAGGAAATGTGGGGTGATCAGAGGAAACATGACAGACATGGTTTGTATACAGCGAGATATCATCAGATGAGATTGAATGAAGGTTTAGGAAACACAAGACAAAGAGTCGCATGAAAGAAGCCAAGGTGGGTCCAAAGAGTAATAGAATATGTTGAGGTACTGATAACAATAATAATAATAATACCAATTGACAATAGGCTCTTTCGAATGAATGAATCGCCTATCTGACATCATCAATCTTCATCTCATCTCATCTCATCTCTTTCAACGTACACGTACCTTTGGTTGTTGTTCATGTTGTTGCCGTATCCACTGTTGCCGTATCCACTATTCCCTCCACCCATCATTCCGGAAAACAATCGGGTCGTAGTTTTGGTGGCCAAGAGTGCAGATTTGGCATTTGTAATAGTAGATGTCGAAATAATGGCAATAGGAGCGAAGGAATGAACCACTCTTTCACAGAGCAAGAACAGTGACAGGAGGACAGCGCATCGCGAAGCTTGTGTCATCTTATAGGATACAGCTGTTATCGTTGACGTATTTGGCGTATTGGGTATCCTTTAGATAGACTACCGGTGATCTCTGGGTGGCAGAAGTATGAATTGCATGTATCGTATCCAAGAGAGAGAGATAACAAGAGAGGTTGATGGGCGTATCATCAACAGACACCGCAGAAGCAGGCAGACTTTGACTTCAGATTGATTCATTCCAACGTCACTCGGTACTGTATTGGATGATGATGATTCAAAAAACACACCGGTCGTGCCTGTCTCCACCAATTAGAATCAATCATCCGTCAGAATAGAGAATAGACTATCGAAATACAATGTGCTACAAGAATATAAAAAATGAGCCACAATACCGTACGGCAAGAAGTGAAGTATTCTGATCACCAAATCCGACATGGAAATTCCAGATTCCTTTCGAGTTCTGATCCAACGCATCATCTTCTCCCATCATCTTCAAATTAAATACTGTAACATCAATCAATCATCCTCATCGCTGTCGTTTACCGCAGCATTCAAACAAGTCTATTTGCAAAGATATAGGTTGTGTACTATCATACAATAAGTAAAAGGGGATAAGGGATGATGTACAAACGAAGGCGTTGCAGCAATCCGAACAATATTTGGGGAATCATCCTTCAACCATGTCTCGTCATCATACCGGTTTTGATGCTGCTAAGTCTCATTATGGCAACATCAAACTCGGTGGTGGAAGGATTTGGAACGCCAGCATTATGTTCACCATATGCACACCATGTTGCTAATACGGGAGTCCCAGCAAAAATGGGGCGCCAATTTGCTGAGGGCACTGCCACGAGACAACGATCAGCCACACTTCAGGTGGCGTCTTTTACAGGGTCAACAAGCTTCCGAACTTGTGGTGGCGCCTCAAGGAGAATAAGAAGGTCATCATCAACCACAAGGTTGAATAACAATGTCGACAGCAGTGGTGGAGATAGTGACGGGTCTAATTCTCCTTATTGGTTTGCCAAGGTCAAGACATCAGCGTCACCTGAAAAGACAACTCAAGCTTTGCCAAAGGAGGATATGCCAAAGGAGGATACTCCCATTGCGCCTACGCAGCAACAACCGCAGCAGGATAATCCCATTCTACCGCAGCAACCTCAGCAATCACAACAGTCAAGTCGTCCAAACTCTCCATTCAGTCATTCACAAGATGCAGATGTTGCAAGAAGACGGCCAATTACAACTACAACTGCTGGTAGTGTATTCAAAGTGGACGCTCCTATCGCACCGCAACAACCACGATCACAACAACAGCAACAACAACAACAACAACAACAACAGCAGTCAATTCAGCCCAATTCTCCATTGAGTCATTCAAGAGCCGCAGATTCTAGTTGGACGGACATTGCGACACCTACTTCCAAGACTCCAACGACGAGTGCTAGACAGTCTGGAACTGGCAGTGTGTTCAAAGTGGATACCCCCATTGCACCGCAACAACCAGAGCCACTATTGCGACCACAGCAACAATCACATTGGCAGCAGCAGCAGCGGAAATCACAGCAGTCAATTCGCCCAAATTCTCCATTGCGTCATTCAACAGGCGCAGACAATTGGACGGATGTGGCGACACCTACTCCTAAAACTCCAACAAGTCGACAACCGGCCTCTGGCACTGGGTTCCTGCCTATTTTTGGTGTGGTTCCAGAAATGGCACCACCTACACCACCGCTTCCTGCTCAAGAGAATACAATCCCTCGTGCCAAAGAGAAACGAGTCATCCAACCAAAGGGCGCATCGGATCAAGAAAGGACAAGAACTGGACTACCTCCTCAAGAGAACCAAGCCATACTCCCAAAAGCGAAGCGAATCAAACCAATGGGAGCATCGGATCAAGAAGCGGCAACAACTTCACCACCACCTTCTCAAGGCAGTACAATCAGACGCGCAAAAGAGAAACGGATCCAACCAAAGGGAGCATCGGATCAAGAAAGGGATCTATCCGAAGTCAACTATCAGACGGAAGTCCCACCTGCTCCAGTCTCCGCCCCAGCACCAACCTTTCCACAACTGACTCCACCACTTGAATATGTCTCGACAACGAATGATGTACCACAAGCAGGGGTAGTAGTACCAAATACTAGTACAATCAAAGTACAAGAAATTGACGACGAAGATGAAGAGTACGACGACGACACTAGTGTGGCTCCCATTATTTTAGAGTACATGAACAACGATACAGATGAATACATGCAAACCATCATCTTTCCCTTTCGAGTCGACCCGAATGTCCGATCCGAAGAACACATTGGCCGACAAAATGATGCTCCCATGTTCACTCCGTCCGTCAAGGCGGATATCTACAAGGTACTGCGAAGTCCCAACGATCCAAAAGCAGGAGCCGAATCACCACCAACTAGTGGCAGTAGTCCATTTGCGGCCATGCTACTGGCCAAACTGGACGAGGGTACCTATGCCTTTTGCGATCGATCGTTGTACGAGGATTCCATGAAACAACAAGAAGACGCCAAGGATGAAGCATGGGACAAACTGGCCCAGTACACTCCCTTGGACGATGACCAAATGCTCAAGGCAGTGGCTTGCATTGGACAAACCAGTCCCAACGCACTTGCCATTACCAAAGCCTTTGAAGCTTATTTATCACAGAAAGCCTGGGCCTGGGGAGACTACCAGGCTTCTTGTCTAAGTGTGGAGTTTCTGATTGCCTTTGGGAATGAATTGTCCACAAGACTGGACATCAATCACCGGATTCGATCTCGCAAATTGAGTCCTGAAGAATTGCTAATTCTATCGAAACCTCCATTTTGCAACTACGTCCAACCGGACATGATGCGAATCTTTCAAGACCAGTGGAAAGAAGAAGAAGAAGAAGAGGCAGAATGAATGCACACATATATATAAGCAATCAGCAGAGACGTAATCCAGAACATACCAGGTATTCATCATGGACTGAGTTCGTACTCACAAGACCAAATTAATTGTGAAAGAAGCAAGATCGAAATCGTGGAAAGAAGGCACACAGAACAAGCAAAGCAAGATTCATTTTGTTGTAACTACGAATACCCTTTGTATATTCGGATTCGGATTCGGATACGGTAGGGAGCAAATTTGTACTTTTGAAATTTAACTGATTGGCATGGATGGAAGTAGTACGAGTACACCATATACTGTATATTCCTGGACTCGGAGTAAGATGAAATTGTGGAACACAAGGGAAGACGAACTTGTGTGCGTGTGTGTTTGGAAAGAAGACATACAGAACAAGCAAACCAAGAGTCTTTGGGACCAATATGGCCTTGGTGTTCTGAAACGATGGTAGGGTGTTTGTAATACTTTCCAAACTACTGCAGATGATCAGTAGAAGTTTTTCAAAAGCCGCCAGAGAAGTAGTACAATTAGTAGCAATTTACAACGACGAAAATGTAAAGTTGATACGACATGTTGTGGAAGAACAAATCAATTTAGATTCTTTGTTCGTATCAATACCCTTGGTGTTCGGATTCGGTACCAGGTAGGGAGTTTGTACTACCGGTATTGTCCAAATTGTTTGAGAATATATGAAGTTGTATCACTGCATGCCACATGGACCAAGCCAGTAACAAAAGACGAAATTGGTACCAGTACTTGCTGGTACTGGTAAAGTCATGAAACGAAATTGTGTGAAAGAAGCGACGCAGAACAAGCAATCAGGATTCTTTGGACCCATACTGTACCCACATTAGTTCGGATTGTTTGTACCGGGACCTCTTGTGGTGTGAATACCGCTACCAGTAATATACGATAAATACCAAAGGAAGAAGTTGATCAGCATGCAAGATTTTATCTGGCGTACGGGAACACTGCCACCCAAAAAACGGCAAAAGAATCAAAGGGGTGACATCTGTCATATTTAATAAAAAAATACCTATAATCACGTGTCGTGTAGTTTTCGAATCTTACCACCACCAGGGATGTAGAAACCCACGAGAATCTGAACGCAGAAACCAGTAGAAACCGCACGCGAGAATTTCCCGATGCATAGATACTGATTTCGCTTTTTTAGGTACCGGTACGTGTACCACAAACAACTGTTATTTCTCTGACAGCGGTTCGCAAACTGAAAAAAGCAGGCAGGCAGGTTTCCCAATGAGAACTGCTTGTCCATAAGATTTTCCGATTTGGCCTATGTCTCAAGGGAATGACGTTGGGGAACCAATGGAATGATTTCTGGTACCTTTAAGTAAGAGAATATCACACCTAGAATTCGCCTTCGACTTGACATAATTGTAAATCTGATGGAGAAGTTTCTCTGTTGTTAAAGAAATGGAAAACAATTATAACAAGTCATTCATCATCATGCCAGTTGATAAACAGAACTCAAACCACGATCGAAACGAGTATCATTTTCTCGCTCTCGCGCTCCCCGCTGTTCGACACCTGATTTTCTTTTCCGCTTCCTCAAACCAGAATCCCAAACAAAAAGCAATACAAATAAAAATACAAATACAGAATGAGCTCATCATCACACGAAACAACCACCACTAGAACAAGAAGAGCAGCAGCATCAAATACAACCACAAACACTACTACTAGTACTGAAATGGACTCTCAAATGGAAGAAGAACTAGAAATGCTTGTAGAGACCAACAACAGAGCCGTGGCACTGCTCGAAAAGGGAGACTTTGAGCCTGCGATTTCTACCTTTGCCCGGGCCTTGACGTTGGCCCGAGCCACCATGACCAAGAACCAGGCAACGCAATCCTCAAACAAACTGGCAGCCGTCAGCTTTGACGAATGCATGGAACGAAGCCGCGCAGCACGATTGCAATTGGGCCAAAAGAACAAGGATGTTGAGAAGGAAAGCGAAAGCGAACAAGAAACCTGTCACCTGACAGATGGTTCCAAAGCCTTTTTGTACAACACGGCCATGCAAGTCCAGAGCAGCGATTTGCCTGCCACAACCTTTGAATCCCACGTCTTCATGTCGGTAGTTTTGGTCTTTAACGCCGCCTTGGCCTATCAACTGGCTGGCGATCAGTTGCTTCAAGAAGATCTGAGCAATGTCATTTTTGTCCGCAAGTCCATCAAATTGTACAGACTTGCGTACAACATTTACCACGAAGAAACTGTGGGAGCTTCTCCCTACTTTTGCATGGCAATTGTCAACAATTTGGGATTGCTTTATCAAGAGAATCATTGCGGAGACAAGGCTGACAAGTGTTTCCAACATTTGCTCTCCACTCTCATGTTCTTGGTGGACTGCAAAGAGAACATGGAACATTTCGAAGGTTACTTTGAAAATACCTCTCATTTGTTCTTTCCAACGAACAAGCGACTTGCACCTGCAGCATGATTGATGAATGATTCAATGAATCAATGATTTGATTCATTCGGAATTTGCTTACTCAATGCTCTGCTCCTGCCAAAGAACATTTGAAGATCACTTCAGCGCTCCTAGCGAAACAACGTTTACAAAAACCTTTGGAACGGGCAGCTTCCTTCAAGGCGGCGCTCGCACAGAGGGATGAAAGAACTCACAAGAGAGAGAAAAGAGGAACGAACAAAGTCAATTCACTTGGCCCTTCCTCCTCCTCCTCTCACTCCATACAAGAAAGTCATGGCAACTAATACTGTACAAACATATGATATTGCGAGGAATCCAAGAGATAATTGTATACAAGATACTTATGCGCCTTGATGGCTTTGTATCGATAGAATAATGAGGTTAATTGATGTTAATAATCATACAGTATCATCCTACCACACCATTCGGTGTATTGCTGCCAACCGGTATGCTCAGTCAGAGCTTCCACAACTATCAAAGTACCTAAAAACATATTCGTGATCACGCACCACGTGAAGGATCATGTTCAATGTGCTCCTGATCTGAAGGAAGTACAAAACATACAACTATCGAAGTACCTCAAAGAAACAGAAATAGACCCTTTTCTCACTTGATCGCATCATTGCAGCAAAATATTACTGCTGAAGAATTGAAGTGCAAGCATACTGAATATACTCTATACTGCTGCCAGTTTGCTCCAGTGACAATGCCACGAAGGGGTAAGAGACCCAAACGGAAGCCTATTGCCAGCAGTGAGAGCGACAATGAGAGTGAAGACGACTCCTTTGATGAAGAAGATGAACTACCGTTGTCCAAACTGATACCACAGTTGGTCAATAATAATAAGAAAGATATTATGGAAGAGGCATCGTCGAATTCTGACAAGAAAGATGAAAAGAATAGCAAGGCTGGTGACGCTGTATCAGAACAACAATCTAAAACAGCAGCGGGTAGTGTCAAGGAGGAACCTTCTGTCACGGATTCTTCTTCTCCTGCAAAAAAGAAGCGACCTGAAACTATTACTCAACCCAAAGCAACAGTCGCGGATAAACCAAAAGATAAAAAGCAACCATCGGCTGCTTCCGATAACAACGAGGAGGAACAAAAATCTGAAGTGAAAGAAACTTCTGCCACTGCAAAAGCTTCGACTGATAATATGAAGGAAGACACCAAGGCTACCACCACTCCAGAACCTGATAATGATAGTAATAAGACCATTGAGCCTACCAAAAAGGATGCTCCTAAACCAGCCCTTTCAGCGGAAGAGAAGCCCATTGAAAAAGCAACGTCCGTTGCTACCAATAAGGCTCCTGTGATAAAGAAGGACGAACCAAAAGAAGAAGAAAAATTGGCTACTGTCAAGACGCAAGCTGGTACCAAGCCCTCGGAAGTTTCCAAAGGAGCAGGCGGTTCCACAACCACCAAGGATGACGAGATTGCCACTTCTTCCACCAAGGCACCACCAACTGTTGCAACTCCTCCTGCTGCTGCATTGTCAAAAATGGAAACTGTGGCCAAGGAGACGCCTTCTGCTGATCCGACGCCTGCCGCCAAGACAGAAGTTGCAAAAACTACTGCTGCAGCAGTAGTGGTAGCCAAGGAACCGCCCTCATCTGAGCCCACTACCAAAGAAACAGCCGCCGCATTAGTTTCCAAATCAAAAGAAACCAAGCCGACAATGGCGCCCCAAGAAAAAGCCAAAACCTCTACACTGACTCCTCCTCCTCCTACTACTGCAGTTAAATCCAAGCAAGAAGAAGAGATGGATAAGATGGAAATTGATCGTCCACCGCAACCAGCTGCTCCTGCGACTCTGCTGCATAGTAGCCCTCATGCCAAAACCAATGTTCCGACAACGAAAAAGGAGGATCCTCCTAAGGATGGTTCTTCATCACCAATGGAAGTGGATGCCATCACTTCTCCAGTAAAACCAAAAGAGAAAGACATTTTTGTCACGCAGCAGAAAATTGCAGTTGCCACACCACCGACTGCTCAAGCTGCACCCCCCAAGCCCGTCACTGTACCTGCTACTGCAGCTACTGCTGCAAAAGCAGTACCGAAACAAGAGGCAACAAGCGCTGCTTCGGAGAGTGGTGAGGCTACCGCACGAAAACTAACAGCAACCGCCAACTCGAAAGATGCCAAAAGTGACAGCATGGACGTGGACAAACCGGACGACGAAGGAATCAAGACATCCAATATCAAAGCTACCGCCACTACCAAAAAAGAAGCATCAGTGCAAAAGATCCCACCAAAACAACTCAAGCCTTTTTACCTTCCGGAACAATGGGCCGTCGAAGTAGAGAGTGACGACGACGAGGGGGAAGATCCCTTTCGATTCTTCAAGAAGGATGGAAGCACAACTACACCCAAACCTGCGGCAAAGACGAAGAAGAAGGGTAGTAAAAAGCAAAAGCCCATCACTATCAGCGTGGTGTCTGTCAAGAAGCAAGAAGATGACAGTGACTCCACGGAAGCATCGAATGACCCACCGGCGCTTGTCGATGGCGTGGACGAGACTTTCAAGTGGATCGAGAACGATTTAGGCTCTATGTCAGAACAGGATATCGCAGCGCTTGTGGAGGAACAATTTCAAGATTCGCTTGACTTCTTTCAGGAACCACACGAAGATCAAGACGAAGACTATTGCAATTCCCAAAAGGAAAAGAAGAAAGAAAAGCTGAAGGAAGAGTTAACGCAACTTGACGTTGAAGACAAAGCTATCGAGAATCAGATTGGAAGAATCATCGAGGACCAGAAAGAAGCCAAAAAGAGTTCAACTCAGCGTAGCGTGGAGAAACATTTGGAGAAGGCGCAAATGGATGAACGTCGCGAAGTGCAGCACTTGCGAGTGAAGTACACTCAAAAGATCAATCCCATTGCCCAGAGCATTCGAAGAAAAGAAACTCAACTCAGCCAACGGCACAAGGACGAGCAAACGAAGCTAGCGACCAGTTGGCAACAACAGAAGATTCAGCAACGCATCCCAGACCATATTGCCAAGGCGAATTATCACCAGCAATTGCAGCAATTGCGTCGGAAACAGGAGGATGATATTCAAAAACTCAAAATGATCAATGTCAAAGCAGCTGACATGAAGAGGAAATGCGACGAGGAGTTCCAGCGCGAAGTCGAAAGAATCAAGGCAATGTACGAGAAGAAGAAGGGTGACATTGACCAGAGTGGAAAGAAAATTCTCAGCCAAATCCTTGTAGGCTATACAAGTCTTCAGAAGCACTATCTCAAGCGTCATCGGCATCAAATGACCAGAAAAAAGCAAGGGATCACCCAGGCTATAAAGGCACTGGAGAAAGGAGATGATGCTGAAGCCGCTCCAAGTTCGCCACCGAAGTTAACCCCAGCTCATGAAAAGAAAGGTGAACCGAGACCTCCTTCTCCAATTCGGACGTGTGGTGATTGGTTCCATGACTCTGGTAACGAGAAGTCGGGTGCCGCATTGAGGCACAAGCATCGTAAGGTTGCGCTGAACCAGGCGTCGAAGCAAATGGCTTGTGAAATTCACAATGAAGGGATATGGGTCTATCAAGTGATTGATAAGAGTGATAATCGCAAGAGTAGGAGTAAAAGCGAGTCCAATCCTTCAATCGATCAAAAGCATTTCATACCTTGGGGTGTCAAGGCCAGAGATCTTCTTGAGTCTCTTATCTGCGGTGAAATCCCTGAATTTTGCTTTGCCAAAGAGTTTGATTGGGGTGACAATGTCACCAATGCTGGGGGTCATATTCGATGCGTCATGATTGATTTACGGACAAGTGACGAGAGTGCGATTCAACAGCGAAAACTAGCCGTCACAGAAAGGGAACTCGCCGAAGTCGGTAAACTGCAACAGGATCTGAAAGAAAGTTCGAACAAAGGAAAGGAGCTAGAATTTAGCCTTGCCAAATTGGAAAAGCAGGATATGGAAATCACACCGAAAGTGCAGCATGCAATCAAGGATGCCGAAGAAAAGAAATTGCAGTACCAATCTTTTCGTGCGAAGATTGCACCGTTCTTTGGACCAAGTGAGTTTCACCTTATCTTTTTTTGTACTGTGCAGCATTCAAACCCTCACATAGCATAACGATTGCAGATGGCAAGCCTCTTCCAACGACTTCTCATAAACAGAGCGAACAACTTATTACTAACGACAGAAGGTTCAAACAAGCTGTCGAGCATGCCATGAATCGAGAAAAAGTGGGAAGAAGCAAGCTGGCTGAAATCAAAGCTCTAATTCAACAGCAATCTCAAGAAGTTGCACAAGCAAAGCGTGCGATCACAACCACTGCAATGCTCTTGAAGAAGAAAAAGGCTGCACTTCAGGATCAGGGTAGCGCACGTGGGAAAACGGTCAAAGAAACAGAGGAGGCGAATCGCGTATCCACGAGAGTTACAGATATCATCTCGGCGCTAAAAATCACAGCAGATAGACGAAGAGAACAACTGTCTTTAAAGCGTGCTGGAAGTAGGAAAGATATGTGGATTCAGAATCTTCCAGGACTCCCGAGTGCACTTCGAAGTAGCTTGTACTACAAAATGCACCGGCGCCGCCAACAAATCGTACTGCGGCCGCCTGTCAACTATTATTTGCCAGATCTCCGAGAGAAAGTCGAGAAAAGAATTTCAGAAGCTGATGCTGGAACGAAGACTACGAAGCTTGATGTGGAGGAAGAGGCTTTGGAAGCTGAGCGGAAGCTGCTTGTGGCAATGCACCCTCTAGAAAGCTTTGGAAATACTCCAACAGCCCCACCCACTGCATCGTGGGCTGAACCAGGTACGTTAGTATGCAATTTGACCTTTTGTCTTGCTGTTCTAATTGATTTTCATTGTATCACAGGTTGGAAACTTGTACTCCACGTACCTTCTCCGCAACCAAAAACGATCTTGCCCAAGGCTGCAATATCCAACGTTTTGCAAAGAAATTTATCCGAAATTCACTCAGCACCAGGACGTCAAGCGGCGTCCTTGGTTCGGAATACAGATCTGCGATGCTTGGCAGCACCGTTATCCGCTGCCGCGACGACCACAAGTCTGGCCGAAACCGCACCTTCTAGTAGCATCTCTCACAGTAAGTTACTCTTGCATTCTGGTTGCGATATTGAAACACCTTTTCGGGTACTAACGTGATGCATTTGTATTTGCACAGTGAAACCAACGGAACCCGATCCGCTCCATAGAAACAAAGAGACTATGGCACTTGGTTATAAGTTTTCAATGAAAGTGCCTCCTCTGAAGCGACCAAGCGTGAGCCGAAAGCCCTCAGCAAATGCTGAAACAATAGCAAGTAAGAAAGCGGATCCCCAACAACAGAAGACAACTCCAACTGCCCAAGCTACGAAGAAGCGAAAGAGTAGCACTGCTGCTGAGGGTGCTGCGAAGCGTGCGCCGCGACGAAAGCCTGCCAGTAAGACAGCAAGGGCGCAACAGCCGAAGATGCCCGTGCACCAGGCCACAACTCAGTTTATGAAACCGATGCAGCTTCAACAGCAAACATCGCAACCATTCTTCCAACAACAACAACAGAAACCGACACAGCAGCAACCTCAGCAACAGCAGTACCAGCCAAATCAGCAGCAAACTTTTCAGCAACAACAGCAATATCAAAATGCGCAATCATCAGCAAAACAACAATACCAACAGCAGCAACACTTTCAGCAGCCTCAGCAGCAATTCCAAGCCAACCAACAGCAGCAGGTCCGTAATTTGTTCTCTTCGTGCATATGGAATCTCACCGACCCTAACCCATTACCTGTAGCCACGGTATCAACAATATCAGCAATTCAATAGCAACCAGCAGCAGCCACAGTTTCAAGCTCGGCAACAACAGCAACAGCAACAAGTAAGGACCTCCCAGGTAGTCTTGAATCTGTTTTGGAATCCATACTAACTTTATTGCGTTTAAAAAAAAGATGCAATTTCAAATGATGCAACAGCAACAACAGCAGCAACAACAGCAACAACAACAGCAGCAAATAGGTGGTGGTAAGCAACGATGGGGAGTAAGCAGCTGCATTTCCTGTTTCCTCTAAAATTTGTTTTTCTCCATTAAGTTCCCATGCCGCATCTATTCAATCAGCAATCCTTTGGTCAGCAGCAGATGCAACAACCCATGCAACCGATGCAAGCGCCGATGCAAGCGCCGATGCAGGCGCCGATGCAAGCGCCGATGCAGGCACCCATGCAGCAGCCTTTGAAACAACCAATGCAACACCAACAACAGGTATGACATGTATCGCATTGATCTGTGCCATCATATGATTCAATTTCTCACTTCTCCACACAATAGGATGACCAGCAATTCGATCCACTATTCATGTTACGCAAGTAGAAGATAGAGCGTTTGACACTTGAAAAGTTATTATGTTACTTCAAATCGTGGACTTCGCTCTTGCATGTCTCTTTTTCATAGACAAGTAATGACTGTTACATTGTAGGGAGTGACGGTGCTGCAGAGGCATCAATTTGCGCTACATGATCCTGTCTTGAAGCCTTGGGAGAGGACCGAGGTGTCAATTCGCCCCAGTTGTCTCTCAAGGTTGCACTGCTGGATCTTAAAGTTTGCATCTCTCCAATTGTTGTCGTTGCACCCCCTTCGTTGTCGTCATTGGAAGGACTCCCGACTGCTCGAACGATCGCAAAGGTTCCATTTGCCCGGTGTCCCCTCATGAGCCGTCTCGTAGGACTACTCAAACTCGTCGACTGTGATTGACTCTGAAGCGTAGCCGCCATGTCACGGAGTGTTACTTCCAAAGTGCGTGCATATCGTGACGTCTGGCGATGTTTCGAACTGATGGAGTAGTAGATTGACCGATCTTTGATAATGTAGCCTACGCCAAATCCATCGGGAACAACTGGTCCAAAGCCAAAGAGGCGAAGAGATGGATTTCCGCAGTTACTAGTCGACAAGATTGTATAGCCCAGAACCTTCCATGCTTCTGATTCAAAGAATGGGATGGTCTCTCTCCTTCTCTCTGCGATACACTTCAGTGCAAATAGGTGCCGGTCGACACCCTTTCCGCGGGCACATTCTTTCACGAGTTGAGAATGGACTTGAGTGGCCAATCGCATTGCTCCTGCCTTTTCTTCACAGCTGCTAGACGTATTGCAGAAAATCTGAATGATGCGGATAGGACATCGGTTTAGACCTCGACCATCCAGCAAGCATTGAGAACGGTTTCACATGGAAGACTTACCTCGCAACAGTTCTTGGCCTCCATTGTCGCTGAACGCATCGCTTCGGTACGCCCATGATAGAAAGTTTTGGTCAAGACAGGCTCATAGGTGCACACCAATTGCCCGTAGAGCCGATAATACGCAAGCATCATGGAGAGCTGCACAAATGAGTCTGGACTCATTTTGTTGCTGACAATAAATTCTTTTCCAAAGTCCTTGAATTCCAAAACTCTGATATCACAGGCAAGAATTTCATCGCCCAGTGCCGTTTCCGCATAGAATATTTCCCGGGTCGTAGCATCACCAAGATCAAAGCCAATTTTCTTTGGTGCTACATCCAAAGAGGGTTTTCCTGCGGCATTTAGTGTCGACATGGCTCGTTGGACCTTTGCTTGAACCACATGAGGAACCGTATCCGAAGAATGAATCTGTTTGGTAATGGACCTAATATGAAAATGTGAGGGGATTGAAGGGAAAATGGCATCGACTCGACTGAGAGCTTACCTGGCAAATTGGACGACCGTCTCGGCATACATGTCAGACACGAACCGCAAGGCTGTATGGCCATCCACTGCCGAGTGTTCAAAGTTGATTCCCGCCGTACCATCACCACACACAATGATTTGCATCTTGTCGTACCAACGATTGGAGCATGAGCCTGCCTGGAATTGTTCGGTGTCATTGTAGTTAATAGTAAGATCATTCGTATTATCCATGGCTCGTTTCTGCAGATCATAAGATCCGTGCAACATATTCGCTGCCGCATCATGCTTGTTCTTGGGAATGTAGTCATCTAGAACAAGAACAAACAAGGCCGAATCGATCAGCTCTAGAGCTTCTTCGTTCCGTTTTGATGTTTTGCGAATCTTGTCTCGAGCATCTGCCCATTGATTCCTTCCCATACTTGTCAACAATCCAATTGCCGACTTAGACGTCTGATATGGATCTGCCTCCTTGGCATCGGCCTGAATGGCACCCAGAATATCGACAATGTCCCCTTCATCGACTGCCAAATGTCCATCTTCCCACAAGGCTTCAAAGATGTATATTTGCGAGCAGCACAGTACCGCCACATGTCGGGAATCCGGCCATGTTTGAATGGTATCCGTTATTTGCTTGGCGGGGATTCGAGCCGTGGCAAAAAGTGCCCTGAATTGATCCATGCACAAGGCCTTGCCACGAAATTGATCTGGTTTCAAGGTCTCAAATCGTAATTGAGACACCATCTTGATGGCCACAAAGCACAAGACACTGGCTCGACGAATCGGGTCCTTGGCAATCTTGGGATCCGGAGAATCCTCCAACACAAAGAAAGGATTCAAGTTCAAGACGACACTGGAATCAGGAGCAAGGTAACTCTCATTCCAAAACTCTTCGACATAGGATCCAATTTCACCCGATGCTCGTTTGCGCTTGTCATAATCGACCAACAATTTTTGAAGACGGGGACCATCCTTCTGCAAAAAATCCATTACAGTTTGTTTAGAACGCTCATGATCGTCCTTTGATTGCAGAGGTTCCAAGTGACGGATGAATTTGTTGAGAGTCTCCTCGAGGCTTGGAATTGGAAGAGGTGGGAGGCCGGACTGAGCCCCATAGGTAATACTGGTCTTTGTAGACTTGCAGCTGGTATCAGTCGTGCCTTCAGCATCCGGCACCATGGATGACTGAAGATTCGTGTTACTCTCCAAGTCACTCAATGCCGAGATTTGCGTGTCCAACACTCGCAGCTGCTCGGTGACTTCAGCGACCATGTTTCCGTTGTTTGTGCTTGTCATTATTCTTTCCTTTTGTCAATCAGTGAGGACCGAAGATCAGCAAGGACTTATTTTAGTAGTATGAAAGATTGTCACGACTTGTGAATTTTATGACACGGTGAGAAACAAATGTGAAGTGATGTCAACGCTGCTTTATTGTCTATTGATTCCGATTTTGTATCTTGCGAAGTTCGCTTCTCCTCAACTTTGGGAGTCTCATGAGTCAAAACTCGTTTTGCACTGAATTTGCAGGAGTTACTCTTCTCATTGTGGTGGCCGCAACTAATCTCGTTGCAATTTCCTGAGATAGTACAATGGGAGATCCACCGAAGCCCATGGCAGGTACACGATGGCGATCGAGGCTCACTTTGATTTTGCAAACGATCGGTTCATGGCGACACGAAAGAGCGGGTGGGTGGTGCTGGCCGGCCGTTGGGCTGGTGATGAAGAAGAAGCATTTTTAAAGGAATCCAATCGATATATAGTACGAAAGCAACAATATTTTTTGAAAACTAGAATATCTAATCAATAACTGATCCATACCTACAGTCTCTTGCTCCCTTTTTTCGTGAAAGGAGGTAGCGCGCTTAGCGTACTGCTGAAAGTTCCTCTTGCGGGTTCATCTCATTCATTCATTCCATCAAAGTATTACTGGAATGCCACAATTGGACTGCGAAAATTGGTAACTTGCCTCATCTCCTTACGCAGCAAAGTAGAGGACGCTTCGCTCGCCAACTGGAGAGTCATACGAGGGAACTCCATCCATCGAGCCAGCTCCTTCAATCTCGGAAAGCATACTCTTTTCAACTTCGTCATCGTCAACCACAAGAAGATCACCATCCACAATCTCTCCAACATTAAGTTGTCGTGGCTTACTTCGCGTTCGGGTAGGATCCTCGCGTCGTTGTTTGGGCTTGCTTCGTGATCGACTAACTCGTTCTCTACTAGGTCGCTTGTTGTTGATATCTTTTTGGGCGTGAACGACATCATCACGAGTCTCATCACGTCGTTTCTTTTGTGACTTGCTTCGTGATCGACCATTACTACCTTTGCCACCAACACTAGTACTAGTTCTAGTAGTGGTAGTGGTAGTCGTAGCAGTAGCAGTAGTAGCATTTTGGTGTCCCTTCTTTTTTCGTCGCGCTGCCGAGGCCTTGGCAGCAGCGCGTCCGCGTCGCTTAATTTCTTCTTCACCGGGTTCCAACCAGTGATCTCCCAACTGCTCTATCATTTGATCTTCCACTTGATCCAAGAGAACATGCCAAATTTCCTTGCGGTCTTCGACAATTTCAGCAGTGGTCTGCTCGACTTCTCCAATGGTTGCCTGGACTTCGGAAGAAATATCTACACCGAAACACTTTCCAACAGATTCTTGAATGTAAATAAGGGCATTCTTCATTTCGACGGAAGCATCGCCAATGGTTTCACATCCTTGTGAAGCAAAGGTTTCAAATGTAAACGCGCTCTCGTCTCCTTGTGTATGATAGGTCTGATAGGTCTCTTGTGTCTGCGTGGTTTGTTTTGTTTGTGTAGTCTCCTTTGTTTGCATAGTCGCTCGACTGTGAGTGGATTCACGAGTATGGGCAGATTCTGCTCGAGTGTGTGCTGTGGTATTTCGGGTATGTTGGGTCCTCGTTTCCTCAAATTCTAGTTCTTCTTGTAGTACACCAGCAGCACCAGCACCACTGCCACCATCGTCCATGGTCTCTCGTGTATGGACACCATTGGTATTTCTCAGGTTGCTACTTTCATCATCACGTTCAGTATCTGCATCTATTTCTGTGGAGCTGCTGCTGCTCATTCCCAATTCCGGAAGCATCATGACATCGGGATCGCCAGGATCATCAATGACTGTCATTGTGGCAATGGTCTTTCGGACCATTGCGACATCTTCGGCACTGTTTGTGCCTGATATGGTATTTGGATCTTGAAACACCATTGTCACAACGTTGAATGCTAGCTAGTAGTGTGTATGTAGTTTTCAAAAGCTAGCGTGTACTGTCGCCAAAAAAGGTTGATGGAATACCTCTCAAATTGTGGCAGCCAACAATTCTGCGATCGCCAAAGGCGGCACGCGCGCGTCAGCTATTTTGTAACCAGTACATGAAGAAATATATTCTCAGACGACGTCGCTCAGAGTCTAAAAATATTTATGATCGATCCTCAGGACTGAGGAAAGAATATTGATATTCACGCGCTGAAAATCTTTTCGTATCGTATCATGTCAGTCGGTTTGGTCCAAACTGGACTATATCGACTGCATGCAATCAAATTTAAAATTGTCTATCATAGTCCCAAAAAGGAATCTTGAAGTTTTGCTGGGAAGATCGTGAGAAACGCACACCAACTTCAACTTTGAACCACATCTTGGTGTCAAATCCCCACTTTTTCACAAATATACCGGTATACATTGCCAATAAAATATAATACAAATAATACACACACCATGAAGACTGCCATCCTTGCCTCCCTCATTGCCAGTGCCGCTGCTTTTGCCCCAGCCCAACAAGGAGCCCACTCCAGCACTCCTTCTTCGTCCCTTCAAGCCAAGGATTATGCCAGTGAAGTCGGTGTCCAAGCTCCCCTTGGTCTTTGGGATCCTTTGAACATCCTGGACAGTGCCAGTGAAGAAAAGTACGATCGCCTTCGTGCTACCGAGATCAAGCACGGCCGCGTTGCCATGTTGGGTGTTGTTGGATACCTTGTCACGTATGCCGGTGTCCGCTGGCCTGGATTGGAGGAGGTTCCCGCCGGTTGGGCCGCCTGGAAGGCCCTTCCCGACGAGGTGGTTGGACAAATGGTTGCCTCTTGGATCTTTATGGAGATTGCCAACAGAGACCAAACTGGCGATGCTGAATTCGATGGTGACTTCCGCAATGGATACCTTGACTTTGGCTGGGACAGCCAATCTGCGGAATGGAAGGCCAAGAAGAGAGCCATTGAATTGAACCAAGGACGTGCCGCACAAATGGGACTTCTTGGACTTATGGTCCACGATGCCATGGGCAATGTTGGAGCCATCCTTCCCCTTGCCAAGTAAATGCTTTTTTTGTTTTTCGCCAGAAAATATTGACCATAGATTTCTTTTTTAAAATTCTTAAAATTTGTACCTTGACAAAAATGACACACCCATGTACTAATACCAAGAGTATTGCTGATACTTCAAACTTTCTTTTTTCGAGAGTGCATCGATATAAGTCATTAGGCAGTTTGTTCTTTGTTTGATAACAATCCATCTTAACGTTTGTGATATTCCACTACAGTATTCTGAAAAGCGCTGGTTGCTGCATTGGATGAAACTAACCCTGTTGAGATAAGATCTTGTCTACCCTTTTTGGTCCCCGGATATATTCAAGATCATGGTCTGGCTTTGCTCCTCCGAAAAGTGTCTCGTGTCAATCTTGTGTCATAGCACGACATCTGAATCCGACTGACATTTTTCTTCAAGCAGATGCAACTGCTTCCGCCCAATTCTGCTCGACTTCCACGCGCTGCTTCTGGACTTTTCCCCAGATTTCGGAGAAATCAAATTTGGATCTTATTGGAGTTCTACCGTAAGATACCCTCCAAACCACGTAAAACACACGTGGAATGATGGCGAAGAGGGGTGAAAGAGGTCGCAAATACACGATCGAATCATAGTGGCTTGACATTCTCTCAAATATGTTGTTATGTAAACTTCTCTGCGGCAGAAGGACGTTCGAGGTCGAACCTCTGGAACTCTAAGAAAAACATCAAACTCACAACATTCGTGGCAAACGACGAAGCGTACGTCGTTGATTCTTTCTTTCTTTCTTCTCTTATTGCCATTAGATCTTTCGAACATCAAGCAGCCATTCATCACGCAGACAGCTGTTCCACACGGATACCATCACGTCACATCCCATCACATCACATCACATCACATCCCATCACACACACATCGCACAACAACAATATAACACCAATATATAATAATATGTACTCCACAACAACAACAACAGTTGTTCGTCTGAAACACCGTCGATTGTGCGACGTTCGTTCACAGCTGCAGCATCAATCATCGAGGACGCTGGCTTCTTGGAACGGCGATAATGTCAGATCTTCTTCCTCAAAGGCAACGATTGTCACCAAGGATAATTCCTTTCGCGATCGCTTCTTTCATTCCAACAACAACACTTTGCAGCAATCCAAATTTGCGAGATTCAAGTCTACCTTGAAACCTTCTTCGTTTTCGACATCGACCATCGTCGCCAACAAGGACAACAAGGAACAAGACGATGCAGCCAATGTCCAATCACAAGAGTCGTCCTACATTCTAGACTTTGGTCTTCCCAAGCTCATTCCCGAATGGCGCAAAATGTTTTCCACGGAAACTCTCTTTACTGACATTTCGGCCGGATTGACCGTGGGATGCATCGCCGTACCTTTGTCGTTGGCGATTGCCGTGGCCAGTGGGGTCCCTCCAGAGGTGGGATTGGTCACGGCGGCCGTCTCGGGTGTGGCGGGAGGTCTCATGGGTGGAACCACATTGGCGGTCACGGGTCCGGCGGCTGCCATTTCCTTGCTTGTGGTGGGAGCTGTGGAACAACATGGAATGGAAGCCCTGCCGTTCATCACATTGGCGTGCGGAGGAATGCAACTTGCTTCTGGTGTCACAAGACTTGGTGTGGTGGCCAAGCTCGTACCCGTCTCTGTGATTGCTGGGTTCACAACTGGTGTCGGAACTTTGATTCTGACGGGACAAATCCCCAAGGCTCTGGGCATGGCCACTCCCGCTGGTCTGAATCCATTGGAAGTCTTGCAATTTGTTGGAGAACACGTCTCGACTATTAACCCATCGTCCGCGGCTCTTGCCCTTGGTACTTCGGCCGGCATGTTTCTCCTTCCCAAGATTCACACAAAGATTCCTTCCGCTCTGCTCGCAGTCGGAGGAGCCACATTGGCGACTCATGGACTGGGACTGGATGTGGCGCTCATTGGAGCCATTCCAAGTGGTCTGGAAGCCTTTCAATTTGGACTTCCCCTGCTTCCAGCGGTGGATTCCCTACCATCTTTGGCGGCTACTACCTTTCTCATTTACTCCATGACCAGTGTCGAATCGTTACTCTCCTGCGCTGCCTTGGAAAAAATGAAAAAGACTTCCTACAAGTACAGCCCGGATCAAGAATTGGTCGGACAAGGATTGGCCAACATGGGATCTGCTCTCTTTATGGGAATGCCTGTCACTTCGGTCATTGCCCGATCGGGACTGAATCTTCGATTGAATGCGGCCACCCGTCTTCCCGCTCTGGTACAAGCTGGATTTGTCTTTGGAAGTGTGGTCTTCTTCAGTGACAACATTGCAATGATCCCCATGCCAGCGCTTTCTGGTATGCTCATCACAACGGGAATGAGCATGCTCAATCCTGCCGAATTCAAGCACTGTTACGCGGTCCAAAAGATGGATGCCCTTCCATTTGCGACCACCGTTGCTGGTATGGTTTCCATGGGCTTGGCCGAAGGTATTGGAATCGGATGTGCCACTGCCATGGCACTCAGCTATCAACAAGCTAGTATGGCTCCAGGATCCACCACCATGCTTCCACCTCTTTCGAGCACCATGATGAATGTCACGCCGGTTCCGTCGGTACACCATGCACTTTTGCCAGAGTCAGCACTCACCAATGAAGCAACACACGTCACCTCCTTTACCGATGCCAATGGCGAAAAATTCTTGTTGGATGCCGACAAGAGTTCGGTATTGCAACTCGATGGTCCCATCAACTTTGTCTCCATGTTTGCCATTGATAATATGGTGCGAGACTTGCATGCACAAATGTCCTCGGCTACTGCTGAGGCTGAGGCTCCTGCCAATGACGAACGATTCGTCGTGGTGGATATGGAAAAGGTCACCAACTTGGAATTCACGGGAATGGAAGAATTGGCCACCCGCTTGATCGAAGTGGCCGATGCCAATGAGGGTGTTACCATTCAAATGGTCAATTGCAATGATGCGGTCAACAACGCAATGGACCAATGTGATCCCAAACAAGAAATTCAACGCTTTGCTACCTTGACTGCTGCTGCTACTGCTACTACTACTACTGTATAAATAGAAAAAAAACCGTCAAGATCTGGCAATACTAAATGATGTACGGTTCGGTTTCTTGTGGCACAGGAGCGCAAACAAGTGTGTGAAAAGGTTATTTGGGGCTCGCATACAAGTGTGTGAAAAGGTTATTTGGGGCTCGCATTTTCACTGGGCTGTATGATTCACACTACTGCTCCCCAAGACCACCCAAGTTTTGAAGGGATGAGAGATGTGTGTGCGTTGCAGAATGGTGTCTCCTTTTTATTTTTATTATTAGGAGATAGCATAGATACGAGAAGAAAAAATCCGAACGGTAGCGTTGGCCGACACATCATGATGGCTTCTTTCTAGATTTGAATCACCTGTTCGTAAATACAGTTACTACAATGTATCACGTTTTAGTCTTTATAATCACCATTATCTACAGTACCGACAGGTTTCAAGGACTTGAGATTGTATTTGTATTGGTGTATACTTCGCCGTTGTACTTTCAATCGTGGGATTATTGGTTCTGATTTTTACTTTTTGGTGTCAACAAACGGACACAATGATGTGTTCGCAAAAGGTATCTTCCCATCATTCTTATCTGCGTCATCGAGCGATGCGAAGCCCTATTTCAACCATGGTTCTTATCGACATTATCACAAATCAAATTATAGGTACAGTAGTAAAGCCAAACAAATATTCCAAACAAGATGACCCCCATTCCACAATTCCAACGTGCACTATCCAGGCAAACAGTCCCAAACCTCCGAAAGGCCATAGTCGCAAGTTCTGCTCGATTTTCTTCATCTGCCAGAGAACAAGTTCCAAAAGAGGATTACTACAATGGTCACTTGCTGGCCGACCATCTAGAGTATATTGATGACATGTTGGATCATACATTGAACATTGAGAATACAGTCGAAGGATTGAAATCGATCCATGCCAAAAAGTATGAAGCCTACAAGACGTTGTCACCAGGTGCCACTAGCGAACTGGATGCCTTGTTCCATCAGGCTGCTGCTGAGAAGGAAGAACTATCGAAACAGCTCAAGGACTTGAAGAACATGATGATGAAAGTCCAAAAAAATCCATTCTTTGCCGTGGATTCCCCCGACGGCATGGCTGATGCAGAACTGGTCAACGATGAAGCCGAAGTTGATCGGATTATTGACTATGCCTCGAAATTCGAGGATACTGAAATGGTCGAACAGAAACATAAGATCGAAGACGCAATCAAGAAAGAGAGAGCTCGAGATCCAGAACATGACTGGTAGTGGTTTAACTGTATTGGAGAGCATCACCATACATGTTGGTTATCCAGCACCGCTGGCATCTCTTCCTGGTGTGCGGCTCTACTAGTTGATTATCAATTTTTCACTTCTTAATCTTTATATTTTTTTAAAATAAAACAATTTGTCCTACATTATCGTTAGCCACTAGTTTTACCGTTAGTTAGTCAGACAGTTTGTTGGTTGGTCAACATCACTTACGACTGGCAACATTTGTGGCATAGACAACCTTGCCCTTGCAGTCTTCCGTGGATTGGATGGAACCATCCCATCCTGTAGCCGAAAGATCGTAAAAGGATGATGGCTCCTTGGAAAATGCCATTGCAGATGTAGCCAAGTAAGCTACAAGAAGAAGAAGGGATCGGATGATGTGTGCAGTAGAATCAACCCAACAATGAATCTCAATTTAATGTTGTGATGATTGTGATTTCTGATGATGATGAGATATCATGCCACAAGTCAGATATTGATGGAACTGATGTCAGTCGTCTGGCGCTCGTCAAAGTACGACTAGTCGAGCTACAACTGTTTCAGTACACGTACCCTGAGAAACCACCATCAGAGGGCAAAATCATCAGTCGATCATTCATGCGTTCCACCGTTTTGAATGGAACAAACTTTGAAGCACAAAAGATGGTTATCGCACTTCAAGAAATCGTGATGACTCAACACTCTTATCCTTATCTGATGGCTTCAGAGCAATTCATGATGAAAAAACGAATCTTTGTCGTGCAATTTGTCACTACACACAAGTGGGTTTCTTGCAATATATAAGGCACTGGTTGGATGAGGCAAACCCAAAAGACAAATGGGCAAACGGGACTCTTATCCACTAGCAGAGGAACCATCATTTGCCTCTACTTCTTTTCCATTTTATATGGGTAATGAGATGACGGCATTGGATCCTCTCTATCTGAGGACGATAAGACGGATTTGTGACCCAAACGATGGACAACAAACCACAGGCATCCGTTGGGATTTCAAAATACCGGCTGTATAGACTGCCCAGCAATGGTTTCTTTTGGCATTTCATGTCAACATTGGCTCTGCTGGTGTATTTCGTCGATTTGAGGCTGTGATTTAACCTTTCATTGGACCATCCGCGACGATAGCTGTCAGCAAAAAGCATGGCCAGATTTAGGTTTGACACGGATCGGACTTTTAATGGGCCCAGTCATGGCAACATATGGAGCCTACTGCTGCAGTACTTTTTACCTGTATGTATAGTATAGTATCATGACTTTTACAATGCGAAATGACATCGATTGATTCATTCTGCTTCTGACAAATATCCATCATCGTGGGCATTGCAAATAAGTTTCGCAAACATAGTAGTGCAATGAAACTACTAGTATAAACAGGATTGGCTGGTGTTTTATTTTGCATCCATTGCTATTTTTATATTTTTATATTTTATAGTTCATCTTCGAACTTATTGTTGCCATTCAAAGTTTGTATCATTGAGGGTATATTTTTATATTTTATAGTTCATCTTCGAACTTATTGTTGCCATTCAAAGTTTGTATCATTGAAGGTCCGACGACTTTTGAGTGTCGTCATGAATAGTATTTCCATATTATCTGCACACCAGCTTATTCTGAAGCCATCCACCATCCTATCTTCCTAGCATTACTTTCACCCATGTTTTTATTTGTATGTCCTCCTTAACTTACGCGACCACCTACTGCAATGTTTTGGTGCAGCAGTACCCCTGTAGGCCGAACTCCCAAAGATCGAGTTGGCCTTGATGTTGCAGGAGGGTCAAACGGTAG